CCTGATTTGTATTTTGTTTTCCAATTTATAAAGGTCACATATAGGCTAAACTTAGTTATAGCTAATACTTGGTGACAACAGACGCTAATTCACGAAGAGCATCACCAATTCCGCCATATCTTTACGCGTTCATATTCTAAAATCTGATGGGCATCAAGACCGAAGATGCAAAAGTCCACCTACAGTACCAGGCGTCGCATCTGATATCAGAATTCAGCAGTAGGGGGCATTTCCTCCAGCTGTATTCTGGTGTTGTCACAGCGAAATCCACCCAGAGGATAGAGTAGCATTATGCCCTGTATATGTTGACCACCGCCGTGTCTTCAGGGAAGTGATCGACGACGATAATCTTCCACGTCCAGCTTAGGTTCTGGCTGTGGTGCGGAGCGATGGGAACTGGAAAACATCTCTTTCTGCCAAGCAGTCATAGTAGCAAGAACAGATCGCCGCCCAGAACCAGACCCGTACCTGTAAGGTGCGTGGCGTTACGCGCGTGCTTCAAAGTGCAGATCAGACCGCCTTAGATCGAGACGGCTCAGTGGGACAGATGCTCGACCACTATGAATAACCTAGTGGGTCACCGGGGCTTCGGCTTGAAGCATAGTTAGGAACGTGTTGGTTTTTAGCCAGTAAGAGTCCCCCAGGTGGAAAACGCAATGCATGATTTTTACCATCAAAAAAAATACAGGCGCGTCACATCAAATTGATTTAGACATTTTCCGCAGAGATTTAGTTAATATTTGTTCCGAAACGCAATTCGTCATATAAAAACTGATATCAATGCAAATAATGCGTTAGAACCTTATGTGTCGAAAACAGTTACTACTTCGAAAAGTACTACACATGAGCCCATTGTCCCCAATCAAGGACAGCATTTTTTTTAATACTTCTAAATATATTTTTTGAAATTTTTTTGCTGATATTAGTTTGTGGGCGTCATATCATTGAGTTAATAAAGTTTTTTTTATTAAATTATGTGTAGTTTGCATTTGGTCCCAAATGGGTTATTCTCCTTGTTTTTGTTCTTCTAGGGTAAAAAGGAAGGGATTTATGTTTTTTCAAGGCGATTTGCAGTATGTATAGCTTCCGGACAGATAGAAGATCCGACGTTAAGTAAAGGCTTTCGGTTGAGAATCTCATTGGTTTGCAGTATATGACTTTCAGAAGTGCTCTCTGTACTCTTTCCAATTCTAAAAACTTTATTTTGGTTGTGCCACCCCAAATTGGCAAACAGTACATTATTACCGACTGGCCCAAGGATATATAAATCTGTCTAATAAGCTCTTTCGTGGCCACGTAGCAGAGTGATTTGAAAGTCCATATCAGTTTCCTTACCCTACTCATTATGAGTTCTATATGCAAGTGCCAAGACAGTCTTTGGTCGATTATAATACCAAGTATAAAGAACTCTTTTTATGGTTTGTTTACAAATAGTTAACTACCTAAACAGACGGAGTATAGTGTATATTAGTCCCGAGCGTGCGGCGGCGCGTCGCGTTCCGCGCGCGCCTCAAAGAGCCATCAGACCACCACGGATGGGCCCAACTGGGTCGATGCCGATTCGAAGTCGCGGAGAACCTAACGGGTTACCGGGGCTCCGGCTCGAAGCGCAGGAGTAGGAACGGGGTGGTTTTTAGTCAGTAAGAGTCTAACACTTCCTTCCGCCTCACCCAGGCGGGAGCAGCCATTCGGTGATTTTATCTCCTTAAAAAAAAGAAAGTGTATATTAGTAATTCACAAGACATTAATTGGATACCAAAAGTGTAATAAATGTCCACTGACGGTATACGTATACAATAACTTCTGCACAATTACCATAGAAAGACCCTGTTCCAGCTCTATAAATCATCGTATAAAGTCCATAGTTACCTGTTTACAACAAAGTTTACCAACTATAAATTGGTTGACATCCTATTTACACCACATATCGGCTCCGAAGTTTGTATAGGCAGGGAATGTAAACAAACTATCGACCTCAAATCCTCGAAGTGAAGCACGGCGGCTCACCTGTCCCTGGGATTATTCAAGTCCCG